CCCCCCCCCCCCCCCCCCCCACATTCTTCCGCCCCCAATCCTTGCTCTTCCCCCAAGATGCCGTCCTTAATCCGCCTGTGGAGGGAGTCATTGGCAACCTTGCCACCAGACAGCTTTTTTTGGCAGTTTCGCTACTGCTTGAGCTAAAATTATCATAATTTTGTTTGTCTTGCATTTCGCTTTAACTGCATTACGAATGCTGTTAAAGGAGCAGTTTTGGTGCACTGTCTTGCCGGGGTAAGTCGAAGCGTCTGTGTTGTTGCGGCGTACTTGATAGTGACCTGTGAACTGACCTATGCGGCTGCCATGTCCTACATTACCAGCAAACGACCTTGTGCAAATCCGAATTTTGGCTTCCGCATGCAACTGGCCGAATATCAGAAGGTAATTTTTACAGAATTTTTATATTTTTACTCAAAACAGGCGTTTTTACGTCGCTTATTATAATACAGTACGGGATGATCTATTATCTTGATTTGGCACGTTGACTTATTTGGCCGTCGTTTTGCTTTTCGTTTATTATTTGCTGCTTACAGAAGGGATGCACAGAACGACTTGTGATCAGTAATCACTTCGATTCTCAAAAAATGGATGAACTAAAACAGAATGATATGCGAATTTTACTGGATTATCCTGCCACAATGCTTCCCAGTGCTGATCTTTCCAATTCTTCCTCTGATAATTCACATGACGGGTTCACCACTTATGCAAGTAATTGCCTTGATCTTTCCACAACTGCCAAACAAACTTCTCCAATAGGTTTGCAATCTGTTGTTTTCAGTTATGGTCTTTTTTCGAGTTCCTTTTCATTTTTTTATTTATTTATTTGTTTTTTGCCTTTATTAATATCATTTTGCAACTGTGGCATATCCATTGATGAGCTCTTTTCTGTTTTGTTGGAGGACACAAGACCTTGAGAGATGCAAAAATTGAGCCAGAGGAAGCAAAATTGAACTAGAGCAGCCAAAATTTCAAAAAATGTTTGCATAATGCTACGTACGTATATCTAACAGGTGGTTAGTACCAGCGGGAGATGTGCAGCCCACGATCTTCAAAAATAAATTTCACTAAGGTAAGCCTCCTCAAAAATGAATTGCACTGAAGCAGTTATTATCGAAAACGAATTCTAATAAAATAATCCTTTAAAAATAAAATTTGCTTGACAGACTATTCTCTTAGCATTCGTTAAGTTTAATTGTACTAGAAATGAGTAAATTATAATTATTAAGTCCAAAAGGAGAGGCGTTCGCACAAATTTTGGGAGACAATACGAAAAGAAACACTCACAAATTAGAAGGAAACTGTAATACAGATATGTGATTTTTCGTTTTTTCAGGATCTTGCACTTCTGTCCGTGGATCTCAAAATAATAACACAGCCAGAACACTACTCAATACAAGTGATATCAGTTTTATTGATCAGTGATTTATTCAGTAGCTTTTGTAACTAGACTGCTTCTTTGTTTCTGAGTATGATTGGAATGAAAAATCTCACCTCTGTTCGTTTTATTGCAAAAACCGGTGACAGAAAAACAGAGAAAAGAGGAGACGCGAGTGGTTCAGGGGATGCTTCCTGCTTTGTGCACTACGAGCACCAGAAAAAACATTTGAATCGGAAAAACGCTGAGAACACAGTCTAGAAAAGCTGAATGTCTAGACTGCTTCGGCAATTGATACATTGATTTAATATCAGTGATTTTACTTGGATCCTTTCCCAATTTTGGAAGCAGTTGTGACAGGCCAAAAGTTGGTGTGGAGCTTCAGTTAGTATTTAGCATCTGTTCAGTATTTGAGCGCTATCTTTTTGAAAATGGCCTGAGCGATCATTTGTTTTCTCACAGCTACCACTTATTATCGTATAAAAAGCTAAGATTGTTAGCGGGGCATGCAACATGTCCTGCCCAACCGGGGTTTTACTTGTGCAGTGGCATTGTGCATGCCGTTTTTCTGACAGAAGTCTGACTGTTTATATGGTCATGAAGAGACGAGCCAAGCGTTCTTCACTCCATTGTTCATCCCCTCACAACCAGCATTCGCTCTTCAGCTTTCATCATTTGGCCATCTTTTGCACCAGCATCGCAATACCTTCAGAAATGTTGAGCATGTGATAAGAGGCGTGAGTCTTGTTAATTCTCAATGCAATGATTTTGAAGGAAAACAGGATTCTTTTTTTTTCGTATGCATAGCAATTTTGAGGACGGCAGTAGCTATAGAGGCCTATTCGGTTTTATCATCGTAGTGTGTTTTACTCATTCTTTTTTGAGAAGAATGAACAATTTTCAGGAATGTTTTTTTTT